GTATGAGAAAGCGTGAGCATGTGCGTTATCTACTTAATAACAAACATAAATCGTGTATGAGAAAGCGTGAGCATGTGCGTTATCTACTTAATAACAAACATAAATCGTGTATGAGAAAGCGTGAGCATGTACGTTATCTACTTAATAACAAACATAAATCGTGTATGAGAAAGCGTGAGCATATACGTTATCTACTTAATAACAAACATAAATCGTGTATGAGAAAGCGTGAGCATGTGCGTTATCTACTTAATAACAGACATAAATCGTGTATGTTTCTCATCTTGAATTAAACCGGAAGAGGTACGCCAACATCAAACGGTGAAAAAAATAATAATAATAATAAGGAAAATTATATTAAACTTTAAACATTCTTACAAGTTCTACCAGCCGTCCAAAGAAAGAAAAGAACAGTTATTTTCAGAGATGAACAGTTTTAGTTAGCCTCTAGAACTTTTCTTCTTTAAATGATAAAATACAATTTTCCAAACATTGCTGCATTTAATTAATAACTTTTTGACTAAAGTAAACTAATTCTGTAGACTTCAACAAAAGAATTAATCAAACCAAATACAAACTAAGTGGTCCTGTAGACTTAATAACACAAATCAATTCGTAATAAAATCTAACCAAATACAAACTAAGTGGTCCTGTAGACTTAATAACACAAATCAATACGTAATAAAATCAAACCAAATACAAACTAAGTGGTCCTGTAGACTTAATGACACAAATCAATACGTAATAAAATCAAACCAAATACAAACTAAGTGGTCCTGTAGACTTAATGACACAAATCAATACGTAATAAAATCAAACCAAATACAAACTAAGTGGTCCTGTAGACTTAATGACACAAATCAATACGTAATAAAATCAAACCAAATACAAACTAAGTGGTCCTGTAGACTTAATAACACAAATCAATACGTAATAAAATCAAACCAAATACAAACTAAGTGGTCCTGTAGACTTAATAACACAAATCAATACGTAATAAAATCAAACCTCATAATTGTTTGTTTGTTTGTTTTTAATTATGCACAAAGCTACACAAGGGCTATCTGTGCTCTGCCCACCACGGGTATCGAAACCCGGTTTCTAGCGTTGTAAGTCCGCAGACATACCGCTGTGCCACTGGGGGGCACAAACCTTATAAAGACTAAAGTGTATTGATTTATCAGTTAGACTCTCTTACTGTTTATGGTGTTCTGGGCCATAATCCCAATAATATCTCACGAGGTATGGCAGCTTGAGCTATTACAGTTAGTTGTAAACCCAACAAACATTCAAAAATTGTTAGACTCAATAACCTATATCATTCAATGAAAAGTAACCGTAAATGGAACACTGGAGCTACAAATATAGCCCATTGTGTAGCTTTGCACTAACAAAACACCAGGTACTATTGTTCACAGTGGCTGAGATTATCTTTCAATAATCTTTTCTGCGAATTTTCAGTTTTTTTCAAACGTACAGTGTTAGGCACAGGTTTATGTAACGTCGATATACCAGTGTAACGTAGGTTTGGTGTTTTATGCTAAGCCTAAAACTTTCAAGTTATATGCTACTCGACTCTACTCAGTAAAGTCACCGTAACTCGCTAACAGGTTTTTTTTTTTTTCCTTCCACTAGGTTCACGATTTGGAATTTGCATCTTCTTTGGATATTGTATTACACGAAACTCTGCCAGCTCTGAAGAGAATAAAAGAAGCAGGGAAAGCAAGATTTATTGGAATTACAGGATATCCCCTGGGTAAACTAAGGTAAGGTACTTAGTTTAAACCAAACAGAATCAATACGTTATTTTTAAAATTACAATTTCCATAATCCTCTGTAACCATTATATGAAATATCCTTACATTTAAAATTCATCTCTCTGTTCTCATGACTTTCGTGGGTAAAACTGATATTCTTGGATTACAATCGCATCAGGAACTATAACTGTTAATTAGGATCTCGCTTTTGATTATTTGTTTGTTTGTAGTCGAGCACAAAGTTACGCAATGGGCTATCTGTGCTATGCCCACCACTTCTAGCTTGAGGGCTTTTTTATGCAAAATTCGGGGATCGATCCGTGCGGTGAACACAGCGCATTGTACAATTTGCTCTTAACAACAAACACAAACCCTCATTTACTTAACAACAAACACAAACCCTCATTTCTTAACAAACAACACAAACCCTCATTTACTTAACAACAAACACAAACCCTCATTTACTTAACAACAAACACAAACCCTCATTTACTTAACAACAAACACAAACCCTCATTTTACTTAATCTTGATGTTTTTGTTATTGGATACACATCCATAGATAAGGTTTTAAAGTAAATCTTACAATCACCTTTCTAGATGGTTCAGGTGTTTCTGTTTACACTCTTACCTATACCTTATTAACGCCCTTGTGGTCATTCCACAGCCCTGGAATTACTAAAAGGTGGTTAACTGTCCATTTACACACTTTACTTGATGGTCACGTTTATGGAAGTCATTTTAAGTAACTAGATTCAACTATAAAAACCATGGTTTGTGCGGCAATATGAAATGTTGTGATTCAAGACCATACATATATTTCATCAATACGTGTGATTAACGTTTCTCGTTCATAATTCACTCAGGACAGTGTGTAATAGCATTTCACCAACATTACTTTCAAAGGAAGTCATTGCCAATGGAACCTGTTACACAATACCAGGTCGGCTGGTTTACAACACAAAAATACTTGATTGAAATGTTGATTATCTGTATCATTTATTTTGACACAAAAAATTTTATGTGTATATTGTTGAAGCTGGTAAATCACGATTTGTTTCAGGATAAAGTAAGCCATGATAAAACAGGAAGCTGGTAAATCACGATTTGTTTCAAAATAAAGTAAGCCATGATAAAACAGGAAGCTGGTATATCACGATTTGTTTCAGGATAAAGTAAGCCATGATACAACAGAAAGCTGGAATATCATCTTAATTAGTTAGTTTCCAACTTGTTAATTATTGTGTCTGGGGTGGTGGTGGTGGTGGTGGGAGATTAAGCAATTCCTCACGGTGGACAGAATGCATATAGCCCATTATGTAGCTTTGCACTATGAAAACACCAGGTACTATTGTTCACAGTGGCTGAGGTTTCTGAATCTAAAGCTCACTAATCGCAAGATTTTGCTAGAACTAGATTTGATTCTGGTTACGTGACATTTTGACGTTTTAACGAGCCATGATCCTGATTAGTGAATTAGTTTCACATTTTGTTATAAGTTGTTTATGTTTCTTTGTTATCACATGTTTATGTTTCTTTGTTATCACTTCTCAGTTGTTTATGTTTCTTTGTTATCACTTCCCAATTGTTTATGTTTCTTTGTTATCACTTCCCAGTTGTTTATGTTTCTTTGTTATCACTTTCCAGTTGTTTATGTTTCTTTGTTATCACTTCCCAATTGTTTATGTTTCTTTGTTATCACTGCCCAGTTGTTTATGTTTCTTTGTTATCACCTCATCACATGTTTATGTTTCTTTGTTATCACATGTTTATGTTTCTTTGTTATCACTTCCCAGTTGTTGATGTTTCTTTGTTATCGCTTCCCAGTTGTTTATGTTTCTTTGTTATCACTTTCCAGTTGTTTATGTTTCTTTGTTATCACTTCCCAATTGTTTATGTTTCTTTGTTATCGCTTCCCAGTTGTTTATGTTTCTTTGTTATCACTTTCCAGTTGTTTATGTTTCTTTGTTATCACATGTTTATGTTTCTTTGTTATCACTTCCCAGTTGTTGATGTTTCTTTGTTATCGCTTCCCAGTTGTTTATGTTTCTTTATTATCACTTCCCAGTTGTTTATGTT